CCACCAATCTGATTAAATATTCAATCCATATTCAAAGTTATTAAATATTGAACGTCATTTAATAAAAACAAGCAAGTTAATCAAGCCTTCGATTGGTGGTGGGTTCATAAAAGCTTATAGAGCAGTGGTTCTCAGCCTTCTTAATGCGGTGACTCTTTAATACATACAGTTCAGTTCCTCATGTGGTGGTGACCCCCAACCATAAAATTAGTTGCATTGCTACTTCATAACTCATAACTGTCATTTTTATACTTTTATGAATCATAATGTAAACGTCTATGTTTTCTGATGGACTTAGGTGACCCCTACGAAAGGGTCTTTTGCTCCCCAAAGGGGTCAAGGCCCATAGGTTGAGAACCACGGTTATAGAGCCACTCCCTCTGGATTTCATCCTCATCTTTCACCTCTTTGTTTCCTTTTCTGAAGAGAAATACATACATCATACATACATACATACATACATACATACATACATACATACATGTGTGTGTGTGCGCAGAGGGCATTGTCATCGTACTTGTGTGGAAGACAATTTGTGGATATTGGTTCTCTTCTTCCACCATGGGTCCCAGAGATTGAACTCAGGTTGTCGGTGATGGCCACAAACACCTTTAGCTATTGAGTTATTTCATTGCCCTCTCTTACTATTTCTTAGTGGGTATGCAAATCATGTGACATGTGTGAGCATTTTGGGTCATTGTGGGTTGTTGGGTGGTTACTGCTTGCTACATGTCTGCCATGCATGTGACCCCGTGTGTTGGCGTTTTTTCTCTGTACCTCACAATTGGCTTGGACCCTAGAGGTCCTGTGGTCCCCTGTAACTCAGGGTGGCTTCCACAGGTGACTGTTTCTCAGGGTTCTGTGCACGCAGTCAGTTCCCAGAGCCAAACACCTCCTTAGGTTCAGCCTTTGTCTCTCTGTTCGCCCTGGTCCCCTCTTGAAGTGCAAGAAGACACTGTAGCGTTAAGAGCTTGAGCTCCGTTTCAGGCCTGCTACTGGTTTTGTGACTTTGAGTAACTTATGTTCTTGTAGCCTCCGATTCCCTTAAAAAAAAAAAAGGGAGGGGGAATGATAATGCTTGCTCTATAGGATTGTCGTGATAGTCTGTGTGTATTTTATTAATGCTATAAGCATCTTAAACTTTAAAAAATTACATTTTTCTCTGTAGTGTATATACCACAGCACACATGGAGAGGCCAAAGTACAAATGTTAGGGCTTGGTTCTCTTCTTCCCCCGTGTGGAAACCAGAGATAGAACTTAGGTTGTCAGGCCTGACATCAAGCGTCTTTACCCACTGGGCCATTTCACTGGTTCAAGAAATTGTAAATATCTTATTCTTATGATGAGGCAAGACAGACCCTATGCTAGGCTTTGTGATAGATCTGAGGAGGGCAAGATGTGGATAGCAGACATCCTTCTCTCATGTCTTGTGGTGTCACGCTCTGTCTGAAGAGTTCAAAAGACCCAAAAGTTCTGAAGTCTTTATTTTACCCAACCAGTCCCTCATATCTCTGAGTATAGTTTTTTTTTTAAACTCTTTGGGGGCCCACAATCCAGCTCCCAAATAAATGCACAGAGATTTATTATTACTTATGAGTGTTCAGCCAGCCTTAGCTTGGCTTGTTTCTAGCCAGCTTTTCTAACTTAAACTGTTCTGTTTCTCTTCAACTACGCTTTGCCTCTGGATTTTTTTTTTTTACCTTTCTTTATTCTATATATCTTTCTTTCCTTCTTACTCCATGGTTGGCAGTGTGGCTGGGTGGCTGGATAGTTGGCCCTGGCATCTTCTTTCCTTCTTTTCTTGCTCCTCCTCTTCTTTCAAGCTTAGATTTCTCCTGTTTATTCTCTCTGCCTGCCAGCCCTGCCTATCCCTCTCCTGCCTAGCGATTGACCATTCATCTCTTCATTAGACCAATCAGGTGTTTTAGACAGGCAAAGCAACGCAGACTTACAGTTAAACAAATGCAACATGAAAGAATGCAACACATCTTTGCATCATTAAGCAAATGTTCCACAGCATAAACAAAGGTAACACATCTTAAACTAATATTCTGCAACATCTGGAAGTCCTTGATGGGTTCCCTCTTGGGGTTTTTTGAGAGCATCTCTTTAGGAAAGGAGAGGAGACATGGAAGAGAGAAGGTGTGAGGGGCAACCTCAGTTAGGAAAAGGAACAGGTACCTCTGAGCCCTGGGCACCTCTGCCTCCTGGAATTTATTTTCAAGAAGGAGGACTCATCCCAGTTTGACCGTAACAGTTCTGGCCTCTCCTTGTGGTCCCATAGAGGACAAACGCCAGCACAAAGACTTGAGTTGGGTGGCTGGCTCCTGATCTCTCAGCTCCAAGGATGCCTTTTCCTCCTTCCCCAGGTAGAATATAAACTTCTAAGTTGGTACTTAGCTACTGTGTGTATGTGTCTACTAGGGGTGGTTGTCTACTAGCTCAGTTGGTAGAGTGCTTGCCTAACACGGATTGAGTTCTGGCTTTGATCCCCAGCACTGTGTAAAACCTGGCACGGCGTCATACACCTGTAATCCTAGTATTTGGGAGATGGAGGCAAAAGGATCAGAAGTTCAAGATCATCCTCATTTATATAAGAGGTTCAAGGGCATCCTGAGAGTGTGAGCTTTTGGGTGGCAAGGTGGACTTTTGTTCCAAACTTTACCCTTTGGTGAGAGGCATGGTTTTAGATATTACAACTTCCCTAATAAACTTATAGAAGTTGGACCGGACCAAGCCCTGCAATGCTTCTAGCAGGGCCTCTTGCAAGCAGGCTCTCCTGGCAAGTGAATGATGGATTGTGGGTTCCAGCCGACCCCGAGCTGACTCCCAGAGATGTTTGCTAAAAGTGCTTCTGGCTCTGTTGTGACATGTGTTCTTGGAAGCTTGCCATCTGGGCAGGGAAGGCCCAGCTTTATAGATCCATGCAGCTTTTTAGAATGTGGCAGAAAAACAGGCACCCCCGCCCCCTAGCAATCCTTGGACACACAATTCCTGCCTGGCAGTGTGTGTGTGTCTGTGTGGCAGAGAGATGAGAGGGCAGGGAGACCTGCTTTGTTTAGCTTTTGAGTACAGTGGTTATCCGGAAAGACCCATCTACGTCCATGAGCCCATGAAGTCACTTAGAAATGGGGAGCTACCGTACAGAAGTGGAGGTGAGAGGCAGGGGAGAGGTGGGGCTCAGAACCCAAGAGTGAATGTGAAGAGGAGCGTATACAAAGCCTAGGTTAATTTTAATTAAATTAACTGCTGACAGTGGCCAAATGCTACCACTCACCGTGCCAGGAACTGGGCTTTCTATCTTCACAGGGTTCATGGTACTGCTAGTGTTCCTATTTTACAGGGAAACTGAGGCTAGAGGGATTAAGTGGTTCCCCCCCCCCAGTGTCATAGTGAGAGGTGCTGGCCTCCAAGTGTCAGACCCACACCCTGCAGAGCTCTGGTGTTGGGGACTCTTTCATTGTCTAATTCAGTTCCTTCATTGTCGATGTGGAACCGAATTTATCAGCCGGATAGTTGGCCCTGCAGAGGAGGGCCAGCACTAGAGGCGGGGCAGGAAGTTCCCGGGGTGCAGGATTTAAGGAGGGACTCACTCTGGGGGGCGGTGCAAGTGCAGAGGCTAAGTGCCTCACCCCAGTCTCAGGCTCCACGGCAGCTCTGCTCCCACGTCGTGAATAACAAGCCCAGGCATCTGCTGTCTATTTGATTGGATATTCCAAGGCATGGAACTGCTGGGGTGTTGATGGGGAGTTTTGTGGGGCCCGAAACCCAAGGTAGAAGGATCTCTTCTCATACTAGTGCCCGGATGGGGGTGGGCTCCGCAGTTATGGGTGAAATGAGGCTTGGAAGCCTGATCAGGTCCTTCCAGGAGGAAGATTGTCTATTGTGGGCCAATGGGAAAGGGGTCTCCTGTCTCTTCTCTGAACCCCACTGGGCTGAAATGGCAGATGTCAGCTGATACTCCTGGGGTAAGAGCTGGCTCCTCAGACTGCATAGGAGCCACGCTGAGAGGCTCGCCCCAAAGCCACAGACATTATGCCTACTTTATTGGCAAATTCTTTCTCCAGGTGCAGGCCACCGTTCCCCAAGTGTGGGACTCTCCACGTGGGTTTAAGTTCAAGGGAAGAAAGAGACAGCTCATCACTCACTCCCTTTCTGGCAAGCCGGGAAGTAGGAATGAGCCCCTGACATCTTGGAGAGGGGTAGGGAGTAACACTCTCGATGGCAGGTGGGACATCGCCTGGCCAAGACCCACTAGGAGTGCTGTAGTTTCATCAGACTGAAGTCTTCCCAGTGGCTAGGCACTGTACCCTGTCATTAACACTCACTCCGCCTCCCCAACTCCGGTTTGAAGCCCTGTCCCAGGTCGCAGGAAGCAGGGCAGCTCTAAGACCAGCCTCTGGAGTGACCATAGCATGGCAAGTTCTTGCTGTGGGGCGTCAAAGTCTGCACTTCACCAGCGCGTGGCTCAGAGCAGCTGGTTCTTCTGCACATTGAGTTCTTCGCTTTTCTTGCCTTTTCTGGGTCTCTGTCCTCAGCAGTTTGGAGATATTTCTGGTTCCCTTCGATCCTGCTGGCTCCCTGATCCGGAGCTTCTAGAAAGAATAGATGCGGAGGTCACTCTGATCCAGGAGGAAAAAAAGGGGAGAAGGGAATCGATGCGAAGGAGATAGATGCAAGAGATTACAAGGAAGGGAAATACAGAAAAGAGGGAGCGGGTAAAAAACCGGTAAAAGAGCGAGAAGGGTGGATGCAAAGTAGGGAAGTGAGAGAGAACCGAGTGAATAAAAGAAGGCAACCGAAAGCCAGAAAAAGGAGCGAGCAAAAGCACGCGATTGCTTGGTCTGAAGGACCAAAGAGGGAAGAAGGAGGTGGGAGGAGGGAGAGCGCAGGGGGGAGGGAAGAGGGAGGGGCCGAGGGACGCAGGAGGTGGGGGCTGCCGAGGCAGCAGTCGCAGCGGCTCCAGCCTCCAGCACGCTCACTCGCTCTCAGTGCCCGGAGCCGGTTACCCGGCTCAGGGCGGTTCGCAGCTCGCGCTCCTGCCGGAGAACCTGAAGCCTCTCCGGCTCCGGGGCACAGGACCGTGGGACTGGCTGGCCCGAGCCCTGGGCACGCCGCGGAAGCAGGTAGATGGCTGGGTGGGGTCCGCGGGGACCAGGAGCCTCGGAGCACTGTGGGTGCATTGGGCCGGGGTGTTGGTTCCAGTCCAGGGGAGGAAGCTTTGCAGCTTCAAGACTAACTTTCCACCAGCTCGGTGGATCTCCAGGCTGCTCTGGCCGGGTCCGGGCTCTGGGAGGCGAGTTTGGCGAGAGGCAGGTGATGGCTGGGCTTGCTGGAGCGCCCTGGGGTCCGTGCGAGATGAGGAGAGCTCCGGAGTGAGCCAGGCGCGCGTCCTCCGACCGCAGTCAGTACGCAGCGGCCGCCGCCTCCACGTGCAGGGAAAGACCCTAGAGTCACGGCGCGGGTGTCCGGGAGCAGGAACCTGCCAGCTCTGCATGTATCTGGGAACTCCCGATAGGGAGCCACCCCAGATGTGCGGAACTTGCGCCCAGCACCGCGTCTTTCCCACCCGGGAACCGACGCAGAGCTTCGGGGCGGCGCACAGGTCCCCGCGGAGCCCAAGCCCAGCTTGTGCCTTGCGCAACCTGGACTCACTCTTCTTTTTCTTATCCCGACCCCCCACTCTCTTTGAGGGAATCCGGATGCTTTGCAGTCCTGTGGGTTGCCCCCGGTGACATCCCTCCAACCCTCGGCGGCGGCCTCAACACCCAAAGTTAAAAGAGAAGCGAGTCACTCCTCTTGCACTCGTGGGTGACTATCCCGAAGTTCCTAACTTCTCTCCCAATCGCGGACAGTAGTGTTGTAGGTGGGAACACGGGTGGTCCTCGTGGCTGCCCTGCGCGGCCACCTTCCTCTTAGACTTGATTTATTCTTTTAATTTTTAGGGGGAAAAAAGACTTAAAAATAGGTAAGAATCGTTCCTTGCGAGGATCAAGGTCGCTAATGGGACGGAGCCATCATCCGTTTGCAGTCCGGGAGCGCCGGATCTCTGCTTAGCGTAGCGGGTCGCAGAGCCCCCGAGCCCCAGCTGCTTTTTCCTGGAACTGACTCCCACGCTCCATCCCACTGTCGCCGCGTCTAGGGATCTGTCCCCGCGAGCCCCTGCCGCGAGGCCGACGTCGGCCTCCTTTTGGACTCCTTTTGGTGATGCTCCAAGTGACTAGGATCAGGCTCTCCCACTCCTCGCCCCTCCGGAAGCCAATAGAGCAGGGCCTCCCGAGGGTTTGGAGGATGCTTATCTGGAGGTTAGTGCTCCCGGCCATCCCAGCTCTCTGTGGCTAGGTTACTTGTGCTGGGCGCCTTCGCGCCCATCACTCAGCTGGGGAAACTGGGGTTAATGTCCTGACCAGGTGGTGGCGCGCGGCAGGCGGCCGGGACTGCCTGAGCCTGTCCCGGGTGGCAGTTTTGGCTCCTGGAGTCCAGAGGCTGGATTCGCCGACCCTCACCGCTTCCCTGCTTTTCTCCCGTCTTTGTTGGACTGCAATCCGAAATGGTCTCTTGTGAGGCTTAGCGCAGGTTTAGAGGTGGCAAAACAAGCTGAAGGTCTTTGCGTGGAGGATCGCCTACCAGCGGTTGCTCCCGCTCAGTAGGTTGGGTTCAGTGCTCCAGAACATTGAGATTAACCCCCAGCCTAGGTTGCGGCTCCTCAACTTCTGTTCCTTTGGCGGATTTCCCTGAGGTGTATATCAAGCACGGGGCTCTCCATGTTGCTCATATACTGTTTAAACGGCTAGAAAATCGAAGCTTATAACCGCAGTCCTTTCCTTTTCCTCCCATTCTACAGATCAGCCATCTGAAGCCCAGAGAAGCAAAGGGACTCGCTTAGAGCTGGCTAAGGGGAAAGCGGGAAGTAATCCTGTCTTCCTGCCAAAGGGCTCGGAACCTTTTCTAGCTTTCCTTACTGACTTCATCACTTCTTAGCGCGAGGCAGGTGTTCCCTGTTAGGACACTGCACTGCAGAATGAACAGGCTGGAGGGCCAGGAGGTTGGCAGGTTAGAGGCAGGACACCCGATATTCAGCATCTCCCAAGAGGAGCCATGTCTATGGTCTGCAGTTTGTGCCAGCACTGTGTCCACTTGTAAGTGCCACCGACCTGGCTCTCGGGTGGTCCGTGAAGCAGCCACAGGCAGGCATTCTGAGGGGAAACCATTCCTGCAGGATGTCGAGTGAGCCTCCTGAACGTAGCCACTGGAGGAGAAGGGCTTTACTGCTAACCCCGGGCAGTAGAGTCTCCTGGGCCAAGGACTTGAGAGCCAGGGCCAAGGAGAACTCAAGTTCAGCCTCTGGCCCACAGCTCCTCTACCTCTATGGAAGTGAAAGGTGAGCCTTCACTCTGAAGGCAGAACTTGGTGACCCTAGGGCCAGGGACACAGCTGTGGAAGCTGTGATTACCTCCTTTCCTCCTGCTCACAGCCCCCCTCCCAGGTTTCAGGCATTCCTCGGCTCCTTCCCAGCTTCACTTTTAGACTCTAGGTGCTGGCAGAGGAGACGGCTCAGCCAGGGGAGGGTGCTTGCCGCCAAGCCTGATAACCTGAGTTCGAGGCTGGAAAATCAAATGGTGGAAGGAGAGCTGATTTGTCCTCTGACCTTCACAGTCTTGCCATGGCCTGCACCCTTGCTCCCAGAACATACATACACACATGTGATAGAATCTAGGTGCTTGGCTGTTCTGGGCTTTGTATGAGTTGGGCATTTCTCCTCGTAAGAACATTTGGTCAGCAAGTTAGTTCTGCAGCTCAGCCTTGGGCCCAGGGACCCAGCCCTGATCAGACAGGGACTGTCCCCAACTCATTATGCTGCCTGCCTTGGTCCTACCCTCCCTATGCTTACAGTCTACTTGCAAGGAGGAGGCATGTCTATAAAGGACATCTGTAGAATGGTTGGCAGTATAACAAATGACCCCAACCTCCCCTCAAGTGGCTCAGGGCTCCGTGGTGACAAGGTTTGAAACAGTCGGTTCTGTGGTTTGGAAAGTCTGCTGGTTGCCAGGGGTGACCCAGGAGGGCTGTATTGCTGACCTTATAAGTGGCCCTGGAGAGCTGCCCTGTAGAGTTTCTTCTGGTCAGAGCCTGGTAGGAGGCAGTTGGTGACTATCGACAACAGATCTTGCTAGGTCTCCATAGAGACCGCTGCCAGGTGACTGCATACTTCTGAAACTCCAGCACCCACAGCTGCGTGGCAAGCTCTGGAGCCCCACTGGACAGATGGGCAAGCAGACCTTGAGTCCGAAGACGGCTGTGTAGTCAGAGGGACTCAGTTGCTATAGAATCCAGCATGCCTATGTCCCATTCAAGTTAAAATGCTCTTCTGAGCTGGAGAGGTGGCTCGGTCAGGAAAGTGCCTACTATGGAAGCCTGAGGAGTGTGATTTCCAGAGCCCTCATGAGAAGCTGAGTACGGCAGTATGTGCTTTGTAACCCCACTGCTGAGGAGGTAGAGACAGGAGGCTCCCTGGAACTCAATGGACAGCCAGTCTAGCCTCGTGGGTGAGTCCCAGGTCCCAGGGAGAGACCCGGTCTCAACAACAAGGTAGCTGGCTCCTGAGGGTGACACCTAAGGTTGGCCCCCAGCCCTCAGCTTACACACTTCCACACGTGCATACAATCTCCATACACATATGCACGCATGCACACACATAAGTAAACAAACATAAAAATGGAAACCTCGCTCAGAAAAAAACCAAAACAAAATAGGGCGGTGGTGGTGCATGCCTTTGATGCTAGCACTCAGGGTGGAGACAGGCGGATCTCTGAGTTCCAGGCCAGAGAAACTCCAGTTTCTCTGGAGTACACAGAGAAACCCTGTCTTGAAAAATACCAAACAAAACAACCAAAACCAACCAAACAAAGAAACAAAGCAAATCTCACAAAAGACTGAAGCCCTTCCTTCTGTCTGGGATTCAGTAGGGGTCATGCTTCCATTGGGAAAGGTCTTATAGCAACACAGCTCCTAAGCCGCAGCCTTGGCTTCTGATTCAGTGGGCCTGGAGTGGCCTTGCTAATTGCCATTTCCATCCTGCTTCCCGCCATGCCGATGCTCTCACTGTGGGAACCACACTTCAGGTGTGGAGAACTGAGGAAAGACTGATTTTCCTGAAGACACTACTGGAGTGGGGGCTGGGGCAAGGCTGTGATTTAGCACCAGGGACTCCCAGGACAAGCTTATATGTGGTCCCATCCCCCCTCACCCCCCAGGTGGCCGTAGAATTAAAAGAATATTTTATCTTCATCAGCACACACACAGAGAATATATTGTCATGTAATTAGGGAATAAATAGGTGTCGCGTTGGCTGCAGACTTCTGTGCCCCGTGGCTCTGTAGGGGTTTATTAGAGTGGTGTTATAATTGAGAAGGTGTCATCCACTCTCTGAGCCCCTCATAAAACTTTCATGGCCAGGGTGGTCATTGTCCAGAAAGGTGTGTCTTCGTTAAAAAGAAAGGAAGCGGGTTGGGAGGTGGGCAGTTCAGCTAGTAGAGTGCGTGCACCTGGGTTTGAGACTCAGCATCGAACAAACCAGGTGTGGTGGCCCAGGCCTGTAATTTCAGCATTCAAGAGGTGGAGGGGGGGGGTCAGAAGTTCAAGGTCATTTTCCACTAAGCTGCAAGTTCAAGGAGAGTTTGAACTATGTGAGACCCTGTCTTAACATCAAGGTGGGGCGGGAGGAAGAAAGGAAGGGAGGGAGAAAAGAATAGAAGGAAAAAGGAAGGAAAGAAGAAAGGGAGGAAAGAAAGAAGGGACAGCAAGATGGTTCTCCTGATACTGGATATTGTGCTTCATCTGACAGTTTGCACAAAAGGTGTTCTGAAGGAACAAAGGAGAAAAAAGAAAAAAGGAAAATGAAAAATAGAACTGGGCATGGTGGTGCACGCCTTTAATCCCAGTACTCTGGAGGCAGAGGCAGGTGGATCTCTGTGAGTTTGAGGCCAGCCTGGTCTACAATAGTGAGTTCCAGGACAACTAGAACTGTTTGTTACACAGACAAACCCTGACTCAAAAAATAAAACAAAACAAACAAAAAAAAAAAAAAAAGAAAAAGAAAAGAAAAGAAAAAAGAAACAGCAGTTGG